GGCCGCGGCCCCCTCTGCTCCACCGTCTCCCCGTCGTCGTCGTCGTCGTCGTCCTCCTCACGCTCCCCCTCGCCTCCAAGGCCCCACTCCTGCTCCCACTGATCCTCCAACCTCCCCCCCCCCCTCCGTCACGAACACTCCCATCGCCACGTCGGCTCTTGATCCTCCTCCTTCTCCTCCCATCGCCCCCCCAAGTCTACCGTTCCTCATCTCCTCTACTGATCCTCCGTTGTCTACTGTGCCCCCACGGCCACCACAGTTTGCACACCACTGCTACTGTCGAGCAGCTGGGCGTGCGAATCGTCGGGCCTTGCGGCGAACTGAATCTGCTCCTGTCTTACCTAGCTCCTCGTCCACCTCGTCTTTCTCATCGTCGCCCTCTTCGTGTGCCAGGGCTGCTTCCCCCCTCGCGCTGGACGACGACGCCGAAAACGACGACGACGACGACGACGACGACGACGACGACGACGACGACGACGACGACGACGACGACGACGACGACGACTCGCAGGAGACGATGAGTAGCCCAGGGGCGGGCGGTACACTTTGGGGGGCCCGGCATTTCTAACATTGTTTCGGGCGCCGGGGTCGGGGGGTGGGGATTGGAACAGGCGCGCGGCGAAAGTCTTGGATTGGCGCGGGGATGGCGCATCGAGTGTCGAGTCTAGCGACGGCGCTGACCAGATGCGGCGCTGCGCGGAAGGAGCCCGCTACCATTCGTAACGCACGCTGTCTCTGGTCGCGGCGTCCGGTGCGGCACGGAGATGGGGGTTGTCCATTGCGGCGAGCGCCGTGTCGCGCTCTGCGGGCAGCGCGGCGCCAAGAGATCGCAGCTGGGGGCGGCGGGGCATCGCGGCTTCTTCCCAGCGATGATATTCTGGAGAAAAAGGCGACGCCCGAGGGGCCGCGGGGGGCACCTTGTCCGGTCGGGCCCCGCGCGAGGCGGGGCTCCGCAGTTGTAGGAACGCAGCGGGATCAGCAGAAACGAATACACGCATTCAGTTTCGCTTACGTGTATCGGCTCTCCGTGATTTACATGAGGTCTTTGTGTGTTTGTTTGGCGTTCGCATGTGTTAGTGTGTTTGGTTGCATGTGTTCAGTCGGGGTTACATGAATTCAGCCTCCGTTGCATGTGTCCACTCTGTGCTGTGTAGGGAACAAGAGCGCTCTCGTGGCCCGCTGGCGACGCGCTCTGCGATGGCAGTGCTCCCGCGAATTCTCTTGCATCGTCTCGGAGGGCAGACGCCGCGAGGCTTTGCCACCCCTGGCCAATGTCTCCCGACGCCGCAATTTGCCGCGCGATTCTCCACTCCGCGCCGCAGTGCGTGCCCATACCTCTTTCCCACCACCGACAGCGTGGCCAGGGAGTAGACGTCAGCCGTGAAATCGGGGTCGCGCCCCGCGCCGATGCATCTGGTCAGAGCCGATGCTACTATGCGACTGCAGCATTTGATGCGCCGTGCCCGCGCCGATCGAAAACTTGCGCCGCGCGCCTGCTCGAGTCCCCACCCCGACCGATCCGGCGCCCGAAACAATGTTGCCGCTGCCGAGCCCCGACGAGTGCAGTGCCCGCCCCTGGGGCTATCCACCTTCATCGTTTCTCCGATACGACGACGACGATGACCACGACCACGACGACGACGACGACGACGCCGACGACGGACGACGACGCCGACGACGACGACGTGTCCCGCCGTCTTGTCCGACCGGCTCGCGCACGACAGCGACGTGTCATGCCCGCCCGCCCGACCGACGCGCCCACGGCGATGGAGACGCTGACAACGCCCGTCGTGACGAACGACGACGACGACGACCACGACGACGACGATGACGACGACGACGAGGACGACGACGACGACGAGGACGCCGACGACGACGACTGCGGGCGGCGAGAGGGGAAGGGGGCTGCTGTTTAAGGGGGCGAAGGCACCAGTGAAGCGAAATTGCGCAGAGAACGCTCTCTCAGACCTCCGAGGCCGTCTTGGAGCCGACTTCTGTGATTTTAGACGCTCCAGCGCGAGGCGGGGGAGGGGTCCTGGTTCCAGAGGGGGGATTGGCGGAAACACCCGTGGAACGCAATTTCGCAGAAGTCGCTCCCTCAGACATCCGATCGATGTTTCAAGGATGCCGTCCTGAGCGATGGGGTCCCAAGGACGAGGTGCCTCAAACAACGCGAATCCGACCTCGAGTTCTTCCTAACCTGAGGGCCCCATCTCTCTGGACCCCTTGGAGGCACCTCCTCCTCCTCCTCCTCCTCCTCCTCCTCCTCCTCCTCCTCCTCCTCCTCCTCCTCCTCCTCCTCCTCCTCCTCCTCCTCCTCCTCCTCCTCCTCCTCCTCCTCCTCCTCCTCCTCCTCCTCCTCCTCCTCCTCCTCCTCCTCCTCCCCTCTTCGAGCCACCGATCCGAGGGGCCTCTCGGAGCCGCCCTGGGCCGTGCCCCCCGACGCCCCGGCGCTTTCTGCCAGGGCCGGGGCGGGCAGGCCCGAGGGCCCAGGAGAGGGGGAGGGGTCCAAGCTCGCAGCGGGAAGGCCACCAAGCCGTCTCGCTCGTCCTCGTGCTCGTCCTCGTCCTCGTGCTCGTCCTCGTCCTCGTGCTCGTCCTCGTCCTCGTGCTCGTCCTCGTCCTCGTCCTCGGCCCCAAGCTGTCGTCCTCGTCCTCGTCCTCGTGCTCGTGCTCCGGCCGTCGTCCTCGCCGTCGTCCCCGCCCCCCCACCCACCAAAATCGAAGGCGGAAGAAGTGCATGAACAGAAGCTTTCGGCGCTCCGCGCGGATTTACTGGGTCGGCGCCCGGGCCCCTTCTGGCGCGCTCCGCGCGCCCGAGAGGGGGGTCCAGCGCAGATCCAAGACGTCCGCGCGGACCGCCAAAAGTGCATGCGTATGCGGCTGTTTGCTCCTCTGCTCCCGCCCAGCGTCCCACTTCATGGGCAGCACCCAGGACTCAGAGATGGACGGCCGTTGAGAATAGGCATAGGCCGAGGTCGCCAGCAGGTGGACAGCCGTTGGGAATAAGTGCAGATGCCAGGTGCGCGACGTCCGCGATTGCGCAACGTGCGCCGGGTGCCTCCGGTGCCCAGGTGCGCCACAAGCTACACGGCAGCCTCGCGCCGTTGCCGACCGGCCCGCCGCGCGGCCCCGCGCGCGGGCGCTCCGGGTCGAGCGCCGCCGGTGGCCTCAGAGCCGGCCAGGAATTAGGGAACGATCTGGCGATCGGGGAGCTCGGGCCGGGCCAAAGGGGGGGGATTGGGAAAGGGGGGGGTACGAAATTTGCTGCATGCAGCTGGTCTCGGCCTCTCCGATGGGGCCCATTCCTCGATACATAGCCGCCTCCGGCGCCGGGAGGCGCCGGGAGGATCAGCTACGTGAGCCGATTTTCGACCCCCCTTTTGCTATCCCCCCCTGTCGCCCGACCCGAGGAGCCGCCGATCGTTCAAGGTTGATCGGTCCACACCGATCGCACCAACGCGCGATGAGTCGCGCGGCACGAACGCGCGGCACCCACGCGCCGATCCCACCAACGCGCGGTCACACCGATCGCCGGGTGTCAGAAGCCAACGCGCAGGTCGTCACGACACGAACCCACCGTACGCGCGCAGAGCTCGCCGGTGCACGCGGCAGTGCACATCGGGCTATACGCAGACACACCCACCATCGCCGTCAAGAGCCACTGCAGAGGAGGGGCGGGATGGTGCGCAGGGCGTATGCTGCGTGCGCCCGCAAAGGGGCTCGCGTTAGTGTCTGACAGGGCCAGTGGGCCAGCGCGCAGCGGACAAATGCAATCCCCCCAGACCCCCTCGCGTCGTGAAAAATCACGACGTGGGGGGGGGGGGTTCTCTATTTTCGGCCCCTGGAGGCCCTTACCAGGTCCCAGGATCGTCAGAAAACGCCTCAGGATGAAAAACTGGTCCTGGGGAAGGGGTCCAGACCTCTGGGGGTCGACGTTGTGAAACAAATCACGACGTCGGGGGCCCGGGCCCCCCGAAATCCCTTTTCAAAAACCAGTGCAACGTGCTCGCAGGGGGCCCGCTCACGATCCAGATTTTTCCACCACGTGCACTCTGCAGTGATTTGTGATCGGGATGGTGGGGACCGTATTGTTCTTGGTCGGCGGCTGGTCGAGTAGGAGACGGGGTGCTTACTAATAGTGCGCAGTGGTGGGCCCCTCCCCGAGGGGGAAGAAGGGGGTTGGAAGAGGAAGCTCGCTAAACCGCCCAAGCCCAGAGGGCTGCTGGGATTTGTTGCGGTGTCCGCCTCCTGTGATTGCACAAAGTTTCGAGTACTCCTTGGGGCGCACATCCCCCCGAGCCGATGTGCAGACTTCAACTGGTGAAGCATTCAATGTGTGTTGGGTTTCCTCTCCACTCGTTGATTGTGTTGCATCTTCGCGCTGCAACGCTTGTTTCTTGTGGATTCGAAATCGGGAGTAAAGTTGAAAGTCGCTCCGTGTGATGAGCTCGGATGACGTGTGATGGGGCTGGCCAACAACACGTACAGAACGCGCACAGCAGTTTGCGACATATTGGAGCACATGGTCACGAGGTTGCACTCGGAACGAACTGCGGGCAAAGAGATCGTGTTTGCGCGTCCGTGGCCATTTTGGTCCAAGCGTTAGCATGTGTGCGGCCCGTTCGAGCCCTTCCCTCCGCCCCAAAGACTGTCCTGCGGGACCTCGCTGGAGCTCCAGCTCGTACAGGAAGGGGTACGCACAGACCCACTATGAGAGAGGGCGCTTCGTGCAGTGCAACCGTGTCTGGGTCTACGAGGACTCCAAGGACTCGACCCTGGCAGCGCTGGACTCCGACTACCTGGTCGACTGGAGCCAGGTTCTGCGCGTGGACCTGTTCGTGCCTCCGCCGGGCGTCGTGATCTGCCCCGTGTGCCTGGAGGACTCGTGGCTCGTCGTCCGTCTGTCGTCCGTCGGCTTCGCCGCCGTGTCGCCTCGTCTCCCCGCCCTCTGCCGCTGGGCTCCTCCTCTCTCTCGATGGCCAACAAAAATGCCCGGAGGCCGTGCGCGTGCCCAAGGTCACCAAGTGTGGTCACGTGTACTGCTGGCCCTGCGTCCTCCAGTTCTTCAGCTACAGCGAGGACGCACGGGGCTCGAGCCAAGCGGCGTTTGGGGCGACCTCGCGGGCCGTGCTTCCGTTCCGACCTCGGCTCGCAGCAGGGGCGGAACGGAGAGAGAACGAGGAAGCACGGAAGCACACGGGCGGCCCGGAATAGTAGGTCGACCCTGCCAGATCAAGGGTACTTTTGTGTCCTGTGTCTCGCGACCCATGCCTCTTACATTCCTGTGGCAACGTGGTCCTCCGGAGGGTCCTGTGTCCTCTCGCGTGTCCTCTCCAATCAAGTCCGACTGTAGCCAAAACGCAGACACACGGTTCTGGGCCGAGCCCTGCGAGGACGTTTGGCGGCGGTGCCCCGTCTGCTCCGAGCAGACGTGCCAGGCCGACCTGCGCACCGTGCGCTTCGCCGTGCGGACGTCCTCCGAGGCGTGGGTGGACTTCACTTAAGTCGGGCGTGTCCCTCTACAGGGGGAATATTCAAAATAGTTTTAAAAAAATGTCAGGGGATTGTTTTGCTATTTTTGAGCATTTGGAAGGATTTTGTTGTGCGTATTTTTCATCATTCGCCCAAAATCCCCCTGTAGGGGGACAGGCCCGACCTAAGACTTCACCCTCCTCGGGCGCGAGCGGACCGGCGTCGTGCCTGTGCCCGTCGGCTTGCCCGTCAAAGCTCGGGGGTTGCCAGAGGTGTCCCTGGCCCAGGGTGTCCCCAGGAGCAGGGGGAGAAGCAGGACGACGGGGGGGAGGAGGAGGAGGAGGAGGAAAAGGAGGGTGAGGAGGAGGAAGAGGAGGAGGAAGAGGAGGAGCAGGAGGAGGATGAGGGGGAAGAAGAGGAGTAGAAGGAGGAGGAGGAGGAGGAGGAGGAGGAGGAGGAGGAGGAGGAGGAGGAGATGGAGATGAAGGGGAAGGGGAAGGGGGGGGAAGGAGAGAGGGAACGAGGGAAGGGAGAGGATCTTCAAGGAGGTCCCCACGGCCTCCAGAGCACCCCTCACGAGGCCCAGGGGGCCCCAGGGGTTCAAGATGGAGGGAGGAGCTGGGGACACCTTGGGCCAGGAACACTTTCAGCAAACCCCGAAAAGCGGACTCGCGTGTGCCCATTGCGGATGATGCGCATGCCAGGCCCTCTGAGAAACAACACATTGCATAAACAGAAGCATCTAGATCTCCGCGCGGATCTCTTGGACCTGCGCCAGGTCCCCCAGGCGGCGCCTGCGGCGTCGCCCCTGACGCGCCCCACGCGCCGGAGAGGGGGCCTCACCGCAGATCTACCAGACCCGCGCGGGTCTCCGAGAGTTTGTGCCTACGCGGCGCTTCCTCCTCCAGGTTCAGCCGCGTGGTCCGGGCAGGCTGCCGCTACGGCTTCGAGCAAGCCGCCGTCGAGCTCGCCGACCTGGAGCGGCTCCGTGCCACGAGCCTCGCGTCCGGCGAGACCGAGCGACTGCCCTACATCGCGACCGCCGCGTGCCTGGCGAGGTCGCTGCAGGGCCCTGGCGAGGAGGGCGGCGGCGGCGGGCCGTCGTCGTCCTCGTCCTCCTCCTCCTCCGGGCCCGCGGCGCCGGACAGCTACGAGGCGAAGGTGCCGCCGCTGCCCCCGGTCGTCGACGACATGGAGCCCGAGAAGGGGGCCCTGCTACTCGGGAGGCGCACGCCATTCCGCCAGCCGCCAGAGGAGGAGATGCGCGGCTCCCGAAGTTTCGCGTGCGCTGTTTGCCGCTTGCGATCGTTTCCTTCTTCACTGTTTTGCCGATCGGCGCGGGCCCTCGCCCCCCCCTTCCCATGGAGTAGATCTCGGCTGTCTCCAGCGCCTGTCTCAGGCAGGTAGCGCCTCGCCTATATAGGACGCACGGTTGCAAACAGTCGCGCTGAACAGAGAGGTCCGGAGCCAGATCCCCCCCCCTTTCCGCCCGCCCCCCCCGCCCAGTGTTAGGTCGGGCCTGTCCCCCTACAGGCCGATTTTGGACGAAAACTATGAAAATACCCTAACATATTCAAAACTTGTCAAACATGGTCCCAACACTATTGACGACGAAGATGAAAACGAGGGGGGCAGGGGGAGGAGGATAAGTGGGAGGTGGAGGAAGGGTGGGGGAGGTGGATGAGGGAGGAGGATGGGGGAGAAGGATGTGGAGGAGAAGCAAGAGGAGGAGAAGGAGGCAGAGGAGAGCAGGAGGAGGGGGAGCAGAGGGGGAAGAGGAGGAGGAGGAGAAGGAGGAGGAGGAGGAGGAAGAGGAGGAGGCCAGAGGCTTTCTTGGGACAGCCAGGGGCTCTCTTGAGGCCATCTTGGGCCGTCCAGGGCTCCTCTTGCGCAGTCTCGAGGCACTCTTGGAGGCCTCCTGGGCAAGTTGGGGCTCTCCTGGGCTGTCTCGGGGCAATCTTGGGGGCCTCTTGGGCCGTCTTGGAGGCGTCTTGGGCCGTCTTGGGGCCCTCTTCGGCCGTTAGGGGGGCCCTCTTGGGGGCCTCTTGGGCCGTCTCGGGGCGATCTCGGGGGCCTCTTGGGCCGTCTTGGCGCGTCGGGAAGCGGAAGAGGCAAGAACGCCAACATATATTAAAAACGTATAGGAAATCCATGAATTTTGCCTCTTGGGGCTCTCGTGGGAAAAGCTCCTGGAGGCCTCTTGGGGCGCTTTGCAGGCCTCTTGGGCCGTCTGGAGGCCGTCAAGGCGTCTTGGACAGATCGTTCGGCGATTCGGGGTTCTCTTGGACTGTCTTTGGGGCCTCTTGGGGCACTTTTGGCCCGTCTTGGGGCTTTTTGGGGCTCCGGGACTCCCCGGGGGGGCGTCGTATCTGGCCCCCCCCCTCCCCGGGACCCCCCCCCGGCGGGGAAGGGATCGAAGGGAAGGGGCTCCCTTTCGACTCAATTACGAAGTTGCTCAACTTCGCTTTGGTCGGCGCGCTGAGGAGTTCCATGGAAAAGGGGGGAGCTTCGACGAGCCCAGGGAAAGGGGGAGGCAGGGAAAGGGGACGACAGAGACGACGACCAACGAATGACGGAGATGACGACTTGAACGGACAAGCCCCTCACACACGCCGACAGGGTCGGCGCACTTTTTCTACTATTTTTGAATATTCCTCCTGTAGAGGGACAGGCCCGACTTAAGCCCAGTGTCGAAACGCCGAGTCATCCAACGCTCGCCTTTTTCGTGTGCGCTGCTTGCCGCACCCCGTCGCGCTGCCTGCGTGCGCAGTCGGCCCCGCCGGGCAGGCCTGCCGTGCCAGATCGAGGGCGCCCTCGTGCCCTGCCCGCTCCCGCCCTGTGCAGCCAGCCGCACGTCCTCGGGTGTCCTCTGGGGGGCCACGTCGCCGTCGGAGGTGTCTCGTGCCCTCTTGGGTGTCCTCATCCTCCTCCTCCTCCTCCTCCTCCTCCTCCTCCTCCTCCTCCTCCTCCTTCTCCTCCTCCTCCTCCCCCTCCTCCTCCTCCTCCTCCTCCTCCTCCTCCCCTCCTCCTCCTTCCTCCCCTCCTCCTCCTCCTCCTCCTCCTCCCCCTCCTCCCCCTCCCCCTCCTCCTCCTCCTCCCCCTCCTCCTCCTCGCAGTCCGACTGCTGTTGCTGCTGGCTCGTCCTCCTCTGCCTCCGCGCCCGCCGGCGGGGCTCCTATGGGGGGGTGCCCCCCCGCTGGAGGCCTCGGGGGGCCCGCCTCTCTCGGCATCGGCGGCCTCTTCTCAGGGGCTCCCGGTGGCTGCGGGGAGCCCTCTGGGAGCTCCGTCGGGGGCCTCATCCAGGGCATGCTCGGGGCCTCGGCGGCCCTCTTGTGGAGGAGGGCCCACGCGGGGCCCACGCGGGGGCCCCATCTGGGGGCAGCCCACGCGAGGGGCCAGCCTCGGGGCCTCCGGGGGCAGTCGTGGGGCTCTCCTCGGCCGCCCCCGCTCCTCGGCCCGAGCTCCGGGCCCCGGAGTGGTGAGGGCGCCACAGCCGCACGACACGCGTGATGTTCGCCTCGGGGCTCGAGCTCAACGGTGTTTTGGCAATTTCGTGGGCCGTTTTCGTTTTGACTTCGCTTTGCAGCAAATGTGGAACGAAGGCAGAACTAGGGATGACGAAAACAAGACGAAAACGGAAAACACTGTTTAACTCGAGCCCTGGTTCGCCTCCCGAGGCCCTCTTGGGGTCCTCTTAAGGGCGTCTTCGGGGCTTCCCGGGCCGGCGTTTCAAGGCCATCTGGACGGCCTGGTGGCATGCCAAGCGTGTCGGGGCCCTCCCTGAGTGCGTGGACCCTCTTGAAGGGGCACCAGCGCGAATCCAGAAGGTCGGAGGGGCCTGGGCCAGGGGTGCGCTGACGAGACCCCCCCCCCCCCCCACATCACACGTCCTCCCCCCGCCGCAGACGTGAGCTCGGATCCTCCCCGGGGGCCCAGGCCTAAGGGCGCGTGGACGAGCCCCCCCCCCCCTCCCACGCCCCCCCCCTCCCGCGTCCGCGTGAGTCTGGATCCTCCTCCCCTGGGGGGACGAGGGCAGGCTTGGCATCGCTCCGACGCGTGCCTGCCTCCTCGGCGAAGAGGACCCCGGGCCATCCGGCAACGAGCACACGCACGCACGAGGCGCGAGGCCGAGCAGTGCACATGGGGCAGGGACGCGTCCGAGCGAGGGCACGAGCAGGGGCGTGGGGGAGGCAGGCCGCCACGCGCGGCTCGCGCGCCCGCTCCCCAGGCCTCCTCCTCCTCCTCCTCCTCCTCCTCCTCCTCCTCCTCCTCCTCCTCCTCCTCCTCCTCCTCCTCCTCCTCCTCCTCCCCCCCTTCCTCCCCCGGCCGGCGGGGGCCGGCGGCTTCTTCCAGGCGGCGGACGGGCAGCTGATCTACTGGGAGCCGTTCTACACCCGGGTCCTGGTCCACGAGGCCCGCGGGGGAGACGGCACTCTTCGATCCGCGGGTCGAGAGCGCACCTCTTCCGGTCGAAGCTGAGCGGGCCGCGCGAAGCCGGAAGTAGGCAGAGAAGAGGAGGGAGGAAGCGGCGGAGCCTCAGAGCGAGGCCCGCGGGGGAGACGGCACACGCACAGGCGCAGGTAGTCGTCGATATTCCCGGGTAGATTCCCGGGAGCACGGATGGGGAGGATCTGGGAAGTGGGGGGGGGGGGGACGAAGCGGTGGGGAAGACTCGAACTCCAGAAAAGGTTGCAAAACACTGGAATTGGGGAATCCAGGGATCTGTGTCTGTTGGCGTGTGTGTGTGTGTGTGTGTGATTGTGTGTGTGTCTGTGTGTGTGTGTGTGTGTGTCTGTGTGTGTGTCTGTGTGTGTCTGTGTGTGTGTGTGTGTGTGTGTGTCTGTGTGTAAGTGTGTGTGTGTGTGTCTGTGTGTGTGTGTTTGTGTGTGTGTGTGTCTGTGTCAGTGTCTGTGTGTGTCCCTGGGCACCCTTCAGAGGCTGGCGGTTGGTCGCAGCTGCCGCGCCGCCCAAGGGTGCGCGTCTTGCACCAGCAGACGGTGACGCTGAACGAAGACGCGAAGGACCGCTACCGCTTTTTGGCCCACCTCCCCACTGGCACTCCGAGGAGAGGAAAGGGTACCCAGACATGCTCGCGTCGTAACAAAAATCAGGACGGGCGTTGTTTCGCTATTTTCGGTCCCGGGGGGCCCTCTTGAGGCCGGGAGCGTCAAAAAACGGCTGAGGATGAGGAACCAGTCCTGGGGAAAGTGTCCGCACTTCCCGGGACGCCGTATTGAAAAATCAGGACGTCGCATGTCTGGGAAAAGGTACCCATGCCGCTGCCCTCCTCCCGTTTTCCCCTTTCTTGGGCCTCCTGGGAGGCCCTCGTCGCCACCGCTGGATTTCCCTCGAAGTCCAGGTCAGAGCGCACCCCTGGAGAGGCCTACGGAGCAGCGATATCGGTGCCTCTTGGCATCCCCAGGCACCGAAGTGCGCTTGGTGGAGCCCAAGCTGACGCTTTCTCCGGCCACGCTCGAGCAGTTTGGCGAAGAGCTCGAGCGCCGGAAGGCCGCGCGGAGGAAGAACGAGCGGCGGCAGCGCCGCGAGGAGGCGAAGCTGGACCGCAACGCGGCCTGGGCCGAGGAGGAGTACAAGTACGCCTTCGTGCCGCAGGCGGTCGCGCCGCAGCCCGTCCCGACCAAGGATGACTTCGTGCCCCTGCCGGGCGCGCGCGAGGCCGTGGAGGCGCCGGAAGTGCCGGAGGGCGACGCGAACGAGTCGGAGGCCACCAGCGGCGAACATATCCGTATCCGCGCCCTCGCGGGCCGGATGCCAGGGCGCGGTCCCGCGGACACGCGGCCGCACGCACACGCTCCTCGCGGGGCACTCGCGACAAAAGGCGCCCTGTATCCGCGGGGCCGCGTCCCGGGGGCCCGGCCCGCGAGGCCGCGGATGCAGATGCGCTCCGCCGACGGATCGAGGAAGCAGAAATTGCACGAGCATGCGCTTTCGGAGCTCCGCGCGAGTTACTCGGATCGGCGCTGGGCCCCCCGGCGGCGCCTCTGGCGCCGCCCCGCGCGCCAGGGAGGGGGCGCCAGCGCCGACCCGAGGAGTCCGTTCGGAGCCCCGACAGTTTCGTCCTCGCCGTCGTCGTCGTCGGCGACGGCCATGGCGCTGGCGTCGTCGTCGTCGATCTTCGTCGGCGCCGGCGTCGTCGTCGTCGTTGTCTAGCATCGTCGGCCCGTCGTCTCTGTCGGCGTCGGCGTCGTCGCGTCGTCAGCGTCGTCGGCGTCTTCTTCTTCGCCGTCGTCGTCGTCGTCGGCGTCGTCGTCGTCGGCGTCGGCGTCGTTGTCGGCGCCGCCTCCGGCGGGGAGGCGCCGGCGCCCGCCGCCCACAGCTTCGCCGCGGTGCTGCGGGCCGCCCCGGCCGCCGGGGCCGCCGCGGCGCCCCCGCGCGGCGCGGCGGGGGCCACCGCGGCGGAGCGCCGGCAGGCCGTGGCGCAGGACTGCAGTGGCGAGTCGTCCCGGCGTGCCTGTAGCCCTATACCAAACAATGTTCTAAGAACCTTTTGTTGTGGTTTCCACGACCTGTTCTTGGAGCACTTCTGGCTGGGGCTGTCCTGTTCTAGCACACAAGGCTTGTACGTTCTAAGAACATCGTTTTTGTTTTTAGAACCTTTTGGGTTCTGAGAACATTTCGTGGTAGGACTATGGCCGACCGTCCCGGCATTCCCATAGTATGGAAATGCCGGGACGGTCGGTCCCTGCTCCGAGGACGGGGCCTCGCCCCGACCGCAGTACAAAAACCTACTCCAGATTTCGTAATAAAAGGGAGAGGGTCTCATTTCGTGGGGGGGGTCTCTTCCAGGCTATCTTGGAGGGCCTGGGGGGGTCTGGGGACGATGTTTTGGAGGTTTCTCCCACGGGGGGGGGGGTCTGAAACTTCTCGTCTGGGAGGGTTGAGACCCCCTCCCTTTTATTACGAAACCTGGAGTACTCGGAGGGGGGGGGTCCAGGAGGCCCAGACACGATCGCGTCGCAGAAGCTTCGCGACGCCGTAGGGGCATCACGACGGGCTCCCCCCTATTCCCGACCGCAAGAGGCCCCGAAGCCCGACGCTCCAACCAAAGATTGGAGCGGGCGGTTTTTGTCAGCGGTCGGCCTCCAGGGTGCCTCGCTGGGCCTCGGGGGCGTGACAACCCAGACATGATGGCGTCGTAAAAAAATCAGGACGGGCGGTTTTGGGGTATTTTCGCTCTCTGGAGGCCCTCGCCGGGCCTCGGGACCGTCAAAAAACGACTCGGGACGAAAAACCGGTCCCGGGGAAAGGGTCGGGACTTGCGGGGACGCCGTCCTGAAAAAATCAGGACGTCGCATGTCTGGGAAAGCGACTCGGGTCGAAAAACCGGCCCTAGGGAAGGGGTGCAGACAGACTCCTGGGGCCGAGGCATCGAGAACATTGGAGCGGCCGGATGCCTGGGGAAAAAGGCCTTCTGAGGGGAAGGGTCCAGGAGGAAAGCCCTCTGAGGGGGGGGGGGGTCCAGGAGGCCCAGACATGATCGCGTCGTAAAGAAATCACGACGGGAGGTTTTTCGCTAGTTGCAGCCCCGGAAGGCCCTCGCCTTCCGGGGACGCCGCATTGAAAAAATCAGGGCGCCGCATGTCTGGGGGGAACCCCCCCAACCTCCTCGGAGCTCAAGAAGCGGGAATCACTCCGATCGAGGGTTAGTCAGGGCGCTGGATCTTGCAGGATCCTGCAGCGCCAGGTGCGCTCTGACCCGGGTAAGGGCGCAGGATCTGGATCCTGCAGGATCCTGCAAGGTCTGACTGACCCGGGTCTGGATTGACCCTGGTCAGCAGATCCCCGAGCCCCGTAACGCCTCCAAAAACCGTCTTAAGGGGCGTTGGTGGTGGCGTTCGTTGAAAGATGTGCCCATGAGGCTTCGGACCCTGGAGTTAAGCCGGACGTGTCCCTCTACAGGGGGAATCTTCAAAAATAGTCAAAAAATAGTCTGGGGACGATTTTTTGACTATTGTTTAGTAGTGGGGGGGCATTTCTGGTATATTTTTTTTATTGTTCGCCCGAAATCCTCCTGCAGGGGGACATGCCCGACGTAGCCCTGGAGGAGTCCTGAGGGGTGGAGCCGTCTGCGAGTCTGAGGTGGCCCGGCACTGGCTCCGGCTAGCAGGAAGGGCGGGCAGATTTCCGGAGTTGGGGTTCGGGGAGGTGTTTTGCCTCTTTCGGCCTCCAGAGGCCCTCTTCGGCCCGCGGGACCCCGACATCGGGCGTCTCGAAAAAATCGAGACAGACGTTTTTTCATAGTTTTTGGCCTCTCGGGGCCCTCGCAGGGCCTCGGGACCGTCAAAAAACGACTCGGGATGAGAAACCGGTCCCAGGGAAGTGGTCGGGAGGTCGGGGGCCCGCGTCTCGAAAAAATCGAGACGTCGGATGTCTGGGGACAGTAACAAACGGATCTGGGTTGAAAAGTTGCACCACCAGATGGACCCAAGGAGTGGTCCGGGGATTGATTTTGAGCGGGTTTGGCACCATCCCCCCTCTTGATTTCAGAGTGACGGGGCCGAACGGTCATTTACTGTCCCTGGACGCGTGGCTAAAGTGGGGTTCTGCGGTGCGGATTGTTGCTGAAATTCATAAGCAGTTACTACTGTTGGACCCCCCAGAGGCGCCCTGGCGCTCTCGCCTCGGCGCTGGCTGCATTTCCTTTGAAATTGAGGCTCACGCACAGCTGTTTCGGGGGTACGCCGAAACCGGCCCCCCCCAACAACAGCAACGCTCCCGCTCTTTGGACGCCCGAAATGGGCACGGAAAGAATGGGTCAAATTCCCAACAACAAATGTTGTCCCAAACCAACAACCGCCACTGTTGGGCAGGCGGCCTTCTGTCTCAAATGGACACAGGCCGCGGCGACACCGACGGCGAGTCCTGTTCAAAGTGAACAGGAACTGCTGTTGGGCATTGTACCTCTTCTTTCCGTACCCAGTTCGTTCGTGCCGACGCTCGATACTTCCGCCTGTTCTACTCTGGACTGGAGCTCGTTCTCGCCGCCGACAGCTGGCTTTCCGACAAAACCAGCGCTCTCGCTCGATATTGCGAAGGCCTTACGGCCGGTGCCGCCGACCCTGACTGGCGACGACGACGACGACGACGACGACGACGACGACGACGACGACGACGACGACGACGACGACGACGACGAGCGCTCTTGGGGGCCTCTTGGGGGTAGTGGGTAGTGTGTGGGCCTCTTGGGAAGCTCTCAGGGGCCGCTCTTGGAAGCCTCGAGGGGGCCTCGTGGGGGCTTCCTGGGGGGCTGGAGCTCGCCCTCGCCGCCGACAGCTGGCTTTCCGGCAAAACCAGCGCTCTCGCTCGATCTTTCTGCGGCTGTTACCTCGGGACCAGCGCTCCCGCCTCGGCGCCGCAGTCGGCCCCCCTGCACACCACGACGCCCCCGTTCGATACCCCCCCCGCTTGTCTTCAAGACTCCCAGGTGCCCTGAGGCTTCCCTAGTCCACGTCGAGCCTGAAACGGTTCGTCAGAGCCCCGAATCATCAGGTGTCACTCGGGTCAGGGCTAACTCGGGCTCCTTTTTCGGGAATCCGAACCCGACTTACCCCGGACCCGAGCTACCTCGGATAATTCGGGCGTCCAGAGCCCCACATCATCAAGGGTAATTCGGGTCAGGGCTAACTCGGGTTCATTTTTCGGGAATCCGAACCCGACTTACCCCGGACCCGAGTTACCTCGGATAATTCGGGCGTCCAGAGCCCCACATCATCAAGGGTAATTCAGGTCAGGGCTAACTCGGGTTCATTTTTCGGGAATCCGAACCCGACTTACCCCGGACCCGAGTTACCCCGGATAACTCGGGCGCCCAAGTTAGGCAATAATTGTTGTGGGGCGCCCTACATCCGCACTGGCGCTCTCGCCTCGGCGGCGGCCGCAGTTCCTTTTGGAAATGAGGCTCACTCTCAGGCGTTTCGGGGTTGCGCCGAAGCTGGCCCCCCAATAAGAGCAACGACAACAACAACAACAACAACAACAACAACAACAACAATGATTTTATCCTCATGCGCGATGTCTCCACACGAAGCATGCGACCATCATGATAACCATCCCCATCATGGGGATTATTGTTCTATAGCGGGGTCCGTTACCCCCATTCCCAGATCTCCCGCCTAATGAGGTCTTGCAAATACCTCCGAGGAATTTCAACCTATCCCGCCTTGACAACACAGGCCCGCGCCTTGCTGCGCCGATGCGAGACCGCCAGTGGAGCCCCAGCCAAGGGTAAAGCACAAGGAAGTATCGAGCGACAGGATTGCCTTGGTGGGGGGCTGTAGGCGGCGAGGCAAGGACCTGGCCCTGAATAGAAAGGGAGGAAGTCTCGAGCAGGGCCGCTGTTGTTGCTGAGGGCGGCGCCAATGCTGAAGAGAGTAGGGCGCTAGTCCAGCGTAAAACAAAACAATGTCTCGAGCGGGAGCGCTGGTTTCATTGGGACGGCGGTTGTCGGCGGCGTGGAGGAACACCGCCTTGAGTAAGAAGGGAGGAAGCCTCGAGCGGGAGCCGTGGTTTTGTCGGGACGGGGGCTGTCGCGGCGAGGAACCGCACCGTCCTGAGGAAAAAGGGAGGAAGCCTCGAGCGGGAGCGTTGTTCTTGCTGGAAGCGGCGCCAATTCAAAAGAGAGTAGGACGCCAGTCTAGCGTAAGACGGGAGGAAGTTTCGGGCGGGAGCGTTGGTTTTGTTGGGACGGCAGTTTTCGGCGGCGACGAGGAGCACCGCCTTGAGCAACAAATGGAGGAAGTCTCGAGCGGGAGCGTTGTTGTTGCTGGGGGCGGCGCCGATGAGAGAAAGAGTAGCGCGCCAGTCCAAGGTAAAACGGGAGGAAGTCTCGAGCGGGAGCGCTGGTTTTGTTGGGGCGGCGGCTTTCGGCGGCGAGCAAGAGCACCGGCCCTGAGTAAAAAAGGACGAAGTCTCGAGCGAGAGCGTTGTTGTTGTTGGGGGGCCGGTTTTGGCGCCCCCCAAACCACTTGAGCGTGAGCCTCATTTCAATGAAAATGTAGCCGGCGCCGAGGCGAGAGCGCCAAAGTGCTTGGGGGGGTCCAACAATAATCAACAGCATCAACAACAAACCACCACCACCAACAACAACAGCAGCAGCAGCAACAACAACAACAATCATTTTAAGACTGTTCGCTCTTATCTGCTCGAGTGTCCGTTGACGCGTAGTTCCCAAACCCTCGGTACCCGCCCTCTTCGTCTTCGATACCCCTTTTGGGGGGTATACTTTTCTTCCCTGCAGGCCGGGCCCCTGCAAGCGGCGGGGCGGCCGCGGACCGTCGGCCTGGCCAGCGGCAGCGCTGATCGGCGGCAGCCCGACCCCAACGGGGACGGACAGGGGACCGACCACGACGACGACGACGACGACGACGACGACGACGACGACGACGACGACGACGACGACGACGACGGCGGCGGCGACGACGACGACGACGAGCAAAAGCGAGAGCGAGAGAGAGAACGACAGCAGGGCCACGAAAGGCACGAAGTAGGCCACGAAGGGCGACAGCGGGGACACGAAGGGAATGAGTATGAGGCCACGAAGAGCGCGAACGAGCGGGGGCCACGAAGGGCAGATAATAGGGCTGAGGGCAGCAACGGGGCCACGTGCCCAAATGCCAGCGTGCGCCTGCGCCCACCGCAGTCATTTTGGCACACCCCTCCCACGCTTCGTGGCTCCTTGGGAGCCCCACCGAAAGCCCAAATGCCAGCGTGCGCCTGCGGCCACCGCACCCATTTTGACACAACCCCCCACACGTTTCGTGGCTCCATAGGGAGCCCCACCGGATGCCCAAATGCCAGCGTGCGCCTGCGCCCACCGCACCCATTGTGGCACACCCCTCCCGCGTTTCATGGCCCCACAGGGAGCCCCACCGAATGCCCAAATACCAGCGTGCGCATGCGCCCACCGCACCGATTTTGGCACACCCCTCACACGCTTCGTGGCTCCAGAGGGAGCCCCACCGAAGGCGAGGCCCAAATGCCAGCGATCGCATGCGCCCACCGCACCCATTGTGGCACACCCCTCGCGCGTTTCGTGGCCCCACAGGGAGCCCCACCGAAGGCCCAACAGCCAGCGTTCGCATGCGGCCACCGCGCCGATTTTGGCACACCCCTCACACGTTTGGTAACCTCATAGGGAGCTCCTCTCCATGCATACAACGAGGGTGTTCACAACTGCATCTGGTTGCGCTTTTCGCCAGGCTACTTCTAACACGCTTCATCGCTAGGTTAGCGACGGAAGCAATAGGGTCCACCTGAGCGGACATTGACGCGTAAACTGCCCAGCGTAAGGGCCCTCTTCTCCATGCAGTATGCCACGCTGGCGGCCCGCGTAGGCCACGGCGTAAGGTCGCGATATACTCTTGCGTGAGGCCAGTTTTTTTTTGTTTTCTTCGTTCGGGTGGTCGAAAAGGTAGTTAACCTGGCCAAAAAAATCAACCAAATGCACTTGTGAGTAGCGCGGTTGTGGGTGTCCTCTTCGGCGGGGCCCGTTCGGGAGGACACGACATGTGTGAGAGTTGTGCCGACGTGGGTGCGGTGCAGCCATATGAAAGCAGCCATTGGGGCCTTCGGCGGAGATCCCATAGGGGGCCATGAGGCGTGTGAGGGGTGTGCAGAAATCGGCGCGGTGCCGCCGTTCGAACGCAGCCCCTTGGGGCCTTCGGCGGAGCTCCCTGTAGAAGGCCACGGAGCGTGTCGGGGTGGTGCCGCATCGGGCGCGGGGCCGCCGTGCGACCGCGGTCGCTGGAAGCTTCCGTGGTGCTCCCCGTGGGGCCGAAGCGTGCGGATGGTGTGCCGCATCGGGCGCGGGAGCGCCATGCGCACGCAGCCGACTGGGGGCCCTCGGCGGAAGCCCCACAAATGGGGGCACGGAAGGCGCGAGGGGCGTGCCCGAGCGGGCGCGGTGCCCGCGTGCGGACCCTGCCGCTGGAGCCCTGCGGAGCTCCCTCCCCACGGGGCCACGAAGCGGGCGATGGGGGCGTGCCGCATCGGGCGCGGGGCCAGCCCGGCGAACGCAGCCACCTGGGGCCCTCGGTAGAGCTCCCGTGGGGCCAAGAATGGTGCGAGTTGTGTGCCTGCCGAATTGGGCACGGGGTCGCCATGCCAACGCAGCCACCGGGGCGTTCGGTGGAGCCCCCTTTTATGGGGCCACGAATCATGTGAGGGGTGTGCCGAATCGAGCGCGGGGGTGCCATGCCAACGCAGCCACCGGGGCTTTCGGTGGAGCCCCCTTCATGAGGCCACGAATCATGTGAGGGGTGTGCCGAATCGAGCGCGGGGGTGCCATGCGAGCGCGGCCACTGGGGCTTTCGGTGGAGGCGCGTGAGGGGTTATGCCGAATCGGGTGCGAGACCGCCATGCGATTGCAGTCCCTGGGACCTTTGGCAGTGCTTCCCATGGGACCTTCGGAGGTGTGTCAGGGGCGTGCCGAATCGGCCGCGGGGGCGAACGCTGCCACTGGGACCTTCAGGGGAGCTCCCTACGGGGCCACGACGCGTGTGATGGGGCGTGCCGACATGCGGAGGGCTTAGGCAGGAATGGGAGAAGGGGAGAGGGGGGGAGGAGGAACGAGGAGGAGGAGGAGGAGGAGGAGGAGGAGGAGGAGGAGGAGGAGGAGGAGGAGGAGTGCCCAGACATGCGAACTCCTGATTTTTTTTGCGCGGCGTCCACGGAAGTCCCGGCCCTTTTCACCAGGACTGACTTTTCATCCCGAGTCGTTACTTGATTGTCCCATTGCCCTGCGAGGGCCCCCAGGGGCCGAAAACGGCGAAAAAGCGTTCGCCCTCAGTTTTTTCGACGCGAGCATGTATGCCTGGGTGAGGAACGCGGGGCGCTGCTGATTGCGAAGGCCTGACGGCCGGTGCCGCCGACCCTGAAGAGGACCACGACGTCGGCGACGAAGTGGGCGGAGACGGAGGCCGTGGAAGATGAGGAGGAGGAGGAGGAGGAGGAGGAGGAGGAGGAGGGCGAGGAGGAGGAGGGAGGAGGAGGAGGAGGAGTAGGAGGAGGGAGGAGGAGGGGGAGGAGGAGGAGAAGGAGGAGGAGGGAGGAGGGAGGAGGAGCGTGGAGGTGGAGCTTGGAGCAGGAGGGGGAGGAGGAGGGGGGCGCTGCTGATTTTAGAGACGCCTCCCGGGGGGGCCCGGGGCGTGCCCGGCCCGGCGGCGGCGGCCGGAGCGTGCGCAGCCCCGCGCCGCGCCAACCGCAGGAGCGCGAGCTGGAGCGGGAGGAGCGCGAGCGGGCCGCCTTCCGCGCCGCCAGGATGCAGCAGGACGCGGGGGCCGCTTTGAGGCCACCTCGTCGTCGTCGCCGTCGCCGTCGTCGTCGTCGTCGCCGCCGCCGCCGCGGCCGTCGCCGCCATCGTCGTTGTCGCCGCCATCGTCGTTGTCGTCGTCGTCGTCGTCGTCGTCGTCGGCGGCGGCGGCGGCGGCGTCGTCGTCGTCATCACGGCCGTCGCCGCTCGTCGTCTAGCCGTCGCCGTCGCGCCTCCTCCGCCTCCCGCGAGCCGGACCAGCTTGCTTGTGGGGGCGGTGTACACAATCCGTGCCCCCAGGTGACTACACTGTTGTGCACAGCCCCCGCTCCACGGTCTCGTGCTGGACCAGCTTGTTTTCGGCGGCGAACCGTGGGGGGAAGTGAGACGGGGCGGGCCTTCGCAGAAGGCTCGGAAGTCCCCCCGCCCTCCGAGAAATCGTCTAAGCCTTCCCCGAAGACACAGGATACCTCAGAGAAGAAGGCCGGAGGGTTTCCGAGAAGACCCGCCGCCTTCTGAGGGGGCCTTCTCCTTCTCACTTCCCCCCCTCGCACGCCGGCTCATCAGCTGGTCTTCGGGTCATGACTCTTGCCTCCGGCGGCCGTCCAGGACGATCCGGGAATTCCCAGAAAGCTCTCGGCGAGGCACATCCGCTGGGAGGTATCCCGAGGCTGGAAGGCCGCCGAGACCCCGAGAAGACGTCCGAAAACCTCGAGCCTCGAAACGTAGACCATCGCAAGTTCCACGCCTTGTCTTTCACGGACGCCAGAGATCCTGCTCCCAAGGACGCGGCCGCCATCGACTCGGCCCTGTCCAGCGCGCTCGAGGGCGGCGGCGCCGAGGCCGGCGGGGCTGGCGGCAAAGGCAAGAAGAAGAAGCCGGCCAAGATCCGGCTCTTCGGCTGAGCTCTCAGGGGCGCCCAGGGCGCGCGCTTCTCCCGCGGGTGGGGGCAGCCTCCTCTTCCTGCTGCTGCTCCTCCTCCTTCTTCTTCTCCTCCTCCTCCTCCTCCTCCTCCTCCTCCTCCTCCTCCTCCTTCTGCTCCTCCTGCCCCTCTTCCTCCTCTTCTCCCAGACGTGCTCGCGTCGTGAAGCCGCCGCGGCGGGAGGTGTGCGGCCGCCCCCGGCCTCCGCCGGCCCCCGCCGGGCCCCAGGGACCGTTCTCGAGAACGACTCGGCTGAAGTCGGGCCTGTCCCTCTACTAGAGGAGTATTCTCAGGAGGGAAAAAACACACAGACACAATTAATCCTCGATTCCCAGGAAAATATGGGAAAATATGGGAATTGGGGGGGAAGACAAAAACCCAGAAAATATGAGAAAATATGGGGACTATTTTTATTTGTGTGTATTTATTTGTGTGTCCTAATTTCCCTTTATATTCAAAAATAGTAAAACATAGTCTGGGACGTTTTTTTTGTTTTGTTCGATTTCGTTTACCATTTTCGAGTATTCTTGGACTTTCCTTTTTTCCCCTCGGAAATCCCCCCGGTAGGGGGACAGGCCCGACGTAAGACTCGGCAGGACAGACTGGCCGCGGGGAACGGGTTGGGATGCCTGGGGACCCCGTCTGGAAGAATCGAGGCATCGCACGTCTGGGTCCGCTCCTCCCTCGCCCCCTCCGTGGAGTCCGCAGGTCCTGGCATCTCGTCGCCGAAATGGCCGCTGCCGCTGCGGCACTGCTCCTGCGTGCGGAGCCGGAGGCGTTGCGCTTCAGACACACATCCGTCTGGGGCGAGAAGAGGCCGGGCAAGAGGAAGACGAAGCGGACGACGGCGACGGCGGCGATGGCGGTGGCGGCGAGGAGGAGAAGAGGAGGACGACGAAGGCGGCGGCGACGAAGACGGAGACAAGAACGAGTAGGGAGGGGAAGGGCCTGGCGGACAGGGTCCTGCCAGTCCAATCGCCCGCCCTTCTTCCACCACGCTCATGCTATCCCCCCCGCTCGTACTCCCCCTCCAGCCTCCAGCTTCCTCCCTCCACCCTCCCCGTCCTTCTTCTCCCCCCTCTCGTCCTTACTCATTGTCTTCCTCGTCCTTCTCTTCCTTCTCGTCCTCCTCGTTCTCTTCTTCGTTGGCATCCTCCTCGTCATTCTCTTTCTCGTCATCCTCACCTTCCTGGTCCCTCGCCTCCTGCACATCAACCTCCTCCTCCTCCTCCTCCTCCTCCTCCTCCTCCTCCTCCTCCTCCTCCTCTTCCTCCCCGTGCCGATGGCTTCCCGCAGCCTATGGGGTTCGACTCTTGTGAGGGACGCACGGGGCGCTGGTGAGGGAGTGCACTTCTCGCACTCCCGATGAGCACCCTCACAAGCACCCCTCAGGTTAGGGAGCTGGGGCGATACCAGCAATCCTTCTTGCATCTTGCCTTCATTGCTGCTACCCCGTCCTTCTCGGCCATTGTGCTACCCTGCTTGTCTTGCTCTTCCCAGCTCATCCCGCTACCCCTACCACCGCCTGGGAAGACCAAGGCGCGGGCATCCCAGCCCCTTTCAGCGGCCCCTCCCGCTATTCCTCCCGCTTGTTTTGACCCACCTGCTCTTCCGACGCGCACTCATCGCGTCAGTCGCCAGATCTCATTCCTCGTTTCCTGCACCCTCCTGTCGGCCTGCCCCCGCCCTCCCCAAACCCGAGCTCCTTCCCAACTCCCTGCCCCCTCCTATCTCTCTGCATGCGCCCTCCCCCGGCGCCGGTCGTCTCCATCTCCCATCCCTCTTGCTACTCCTGCCCCTGCTACCCGGCTACCCGCACAATCCTCCATATGTACCACGACAGTTTACCACATCTTATCTGCATTCTCTTGTTAACGCATGCGTGGCAGAGCAATCGCGCCAGAGGATTTATTAACCCAGCACGCGCGAAAGCATGTTTGGTGGCCATCCCCGTCTGGTGAGAGCCCTGCGTGGCACGTGCGCTCCCCAAGAGCGAAGGGGGGCATGATTTGTCCGCCTCCGTGGGCCCCTTTGGAGTCGAAACTTGTAGTAGGCTCGGGGCGGAGCAACGAAAATGTCACGAATTTCGGTCTGCCAGGGGGGGAAACGTAACGAATTTCCCCCCGCTGGGTAGCAGAGAATTACAGTCGTGCTTCCTATTTGATCTTCTTAAGCCACCAGTCCATACTGAATGTTCTTAATATTGTGGCATCTTCATACGCCTACTTCCCATCGTATAGTTTCTACACCGCCGCACTTCTTCGTCTCGCTCCCTTTCTCTCCCTCTCTCTCTCTCTCTCCCTCTCTCTCTCTCTCTCTCTCTCTCTCTCTCCCTTTCTGGGCTCCCTGCCCCCTCCTATCTCTCTGCGCGCGCCCTCCTCCGACGCCGGTCGTCTCCATCTCCCATCCCTCTTGCTACTATCCCTCCTGCCCCTGCTACCCGGCCACCCGCACAACCCTCCATATGTACCACGACAGCTCACCACATCTTATCCGCATTCTCTTGTTAGCGCATGCGAGGCATCTTCTTAAGCCACCAATACATACTGAATGTTCTTAATAATGTGGCATCACACATTCGCCTACTTCCCATCGAATAGTTTCTACACCGCCGCACTTCTTCGTCTTGCTCCCTATCTCTCCCTCTCCCTCTCTCTCTCTCTCTCTCCCTCTCTCTCTCCCTCTCTGGTCTTGCCTCGCCCTCCCTCTCCCTGTCCCCCGTCATCGGCTTATCCACCATCATACCCCTCGCTCCTACCCGACATTCTCTCGCTCTCCCCCAGTTTCTCGCTGGAGGCCCCAGTGCAGTCACCCAAGTTCCGACTCTACTATCCCCCTCGCTTGCCCAAGCAGTGGCCCTCGACAGCTATTTCTCGAATTGTGGCCGCCTCTTCTGCCCCCTCGGACAGGGGCAGCATACCAGCCCCTTTCGTTCACGGCGCCACGCCACACAGGGACCAGCCACCCTTAAGGCTGTGTATTCCGCCAGTATCCTCCTCTTCCTCCTCCTCCGCCTCATCCTCCCCCATTCTCCTCCTCCCTGCCTCATCGACAGTCTCCACATCCCTCGTCCTCCCCCTCCTCTCAGCGGGCGCATTCTTCCCGCGGCATCCGCGGAGAGGCGGGAGGATGAGCAGTAGGTAGGAGGAGGACGGGGAGGTGGAGAAACATGGGGTGGAGGAGGAGGAGGAGGAGGAGGACCAGTGCAAACCCAAGAGTCATCAACGATGTTGGAATTAACCCTCCCTCCAAGCTCCCTCTTCTAGGCCCCTACAATGGTTCATTTCCATTAAGGGAACTGCCTCGTTGGAAGACAACCGTTTGAAGACATCGAAATATGCTAAAACATTGTTCTTGGGATTTCCACTAGTAGGATTTTTTCAGAGTTTGACCCCGCCCTAATAGGATCCCATGAGAGCCTGACCGAGTTCTAGTAGGGTTCTTTCAGAGATGGGCCGAGCTCTAGTCGCTTTTTTGTTTGAGCTGGGTCCACCTCGGGTAGGATCTTGTTCGAGCTGGATACATCTCTATCATGATTATATTCGAGCTGGACACAGCTCTAGTAGGATCTTATACCGCTGGACAGCTCTTTTAGGGTACTATTAGAGCTCGGCACATCTCTAGTCGGATTTCAGTAGGTCTGTTGCAGGAGCTCGCTTCGCTGGGAATGGACTTTGGGAATGCCTGAGTGTTTCTGGTTGCGCGGTTACGCTTGCGACCCAATCCCTCCCTCGCAACATGGTGGAAAGGGTAACAGGGTCCCGTCATCGCCAGGCTGGCGAGGCCGGGGGCCTGGTACCTCGCCGAAGGTGCCAGCTACCCGTCTCTGCCTTTTTGTGACTGCTGCTGTTGAGTTTTTATTCCTTACGAAAATTTATTGTTGATCCCCCCCCTCCGGTAACCATTGTACTCTTTAGTTAAAGTGCTCTTTCTGGGGCCCGCACCCCGTTTTTACAAGTGACAGCGTTGGGTCACCAGATTGGACCCCCGGCCCCCAGTCTACAACAACAGCGGTTCCCGCCGGATACTCCCCCCCAATGCATTCCGAGATCGCGCTTTCGCGGGGGAGTTCCTCACAATTTAAACAGGAATCGCGCTCCTGCGTGGGATTTCCTCGCAATTGATTCAAACGCCGCACCCTCGATACTCAGGAATCACGTTCTCGCTGTTGATTTTTGAATTTATTTGGGAATCGCGCTATCGCTTGAGACTTCCTCGCGATTCATTGAGTAATCACGCTTCAACAACCCGCCTGCTCGACCTGGCCGCCTGGGCCCGCTTTCTGGACCCGCCCGTTAGGGTCTACCCGCCCGATATGCCCGTTTGGTTCTGCCACGCGCTTTCTGTTCCTAGCCCCCCTCCTGTATGTGTTGTTTGTTTATTGTGCTGTTGTCTTATTTGTTGTATTTCTCTCTCTCTTTCTCTCTCTCTCTCGTGTTTCATCCTCCTCCCTCCCCCGTGCCCGTTCGTTCCATGCGTTCGGTCTTCCCCTGTCTTAGGGGCTCCACGAAATACACGTGGCGGCTAAGAAATATATACCTTCAGGGGAGTACGGTCGACGACGAAGGGGGCGGGTATCGACGGTTTGGGATATGCGTGTTGCTTGGCACGCGAGCAATTAAGAGCGGACGCCGTTAAGTTGGTTGTTGCTGTTGATGTTGTTGATGGTGATGGTGCTGTTGTTTTTGCTGCTGCTGCTGTTTATGCTATGCTGTTGCCGATGGTGTTGTTGCTGTTGGTGTTGTTGTGATTGTTGTTGGTGTTGGTGTTGTTATTGGTGTTGTTGTTGTTGCTACTGCTGTTATTGTTGGTGTCGTGTTTGTTGGTGTTGCTGTTGGTGGTGCTGCTGTTGCCGTTGCTGTGTGATGCTGCTGTTGTTGGTGATAATGATGTTGTTGTGGCTGGTGGTGGTGAGGTTGTTGTTAGCATTTGTTGTGCTGCTGTTGTTGCTGTTGTGGTGGTTGTTGCTGCTGTTGGTGTTGCCGGTGCTGCTGTTGTTGTTGGTGGTGGGGTGTTGTTGTTGTGGTTGTTGTTGGTGTTGTCGTTGTCGTTGTTATTGCTGTTGTTGTTGTTGCTGTTGTTGTTGTTGTTGTTGTCGTTGTTGTTGTTGTTGTTGATGTTGATGTTGTTGTTGTTGTTGCTGTTGTTGTTGTTGTTGTTGGTGTTGTTGTTGTTGTTGTTGTTGTTGTTGTTGTTGTTGTTGTTGTTGTTGTTGTTGTTGTTGTTGTTGTTGTTGTTGTTGTTGTTGTTATTTGTTTTTTTTGTTTCTCTCTCTCTCTCTCTCTGGCTGTTTCGCACCATCCCCCATCCCCCCCCCGCGCTTGGGAGGAGGAGGATATGGAGGAGGAGGAGGAGGAGGTGGAGGAGGAAGAGGAAGGGGAGGGGGAGGAGGAATGGGGAGGAGGAGGAGGAGGAGGAGGAGGAGGAGGAGGAGGAGGAGGAGACGGAGGAGGAGGAGTAGGACGACGACTACGAGGAGGAGGAGGAAGAGGAGGAGGAGGATCATTGAAGATGGAGAGGACGACGAGGAGGCCGATGGTGCTGCGGAGGAGCAGGGGGCCCAGGCGGGGCAGGACTCCGAGCTGGGCGACCTCCGGGCCACCGACCCCTTCCCCGAGCTGCGCCGCTTCGCCGACTCCGTGGACCTCGACAGGAGCGGGGGCCCCCTGCCTCCGAGGGTGCTCGAGGGGGGAGGGACGAGGGAGGGGAGGGGAGGGAGACAGGAGGGAGAGAGGAGGGAGAGAGGAGGAGGAGGAGGAGGAGGAGGAGGAGGAGGAGGAGGAGGAGGAGGGGGAGGAGGAGGAGGGGGAGGATTGTCTACGTGCGA